CAAAATTATTTTTTTTTGTTGGAATCAGCTTAATGTCAGTATTAATAATAACTAATCATTTCTTATTATTTATTATAGGTTGTGGACCTGAGGCTGAACTCATCATCTCAAGGACTGATCTCTTATTCATATACTGAAGATCTATAGACTGGGTTTAGGAACTAAGGACTGTAACACTATAAGACTGGTTTAATTAATTAAAATCATTGTTGACTTGTACTCTGCATGTATGACTGAAGTGTGTTTCTTATTTTATTGTCAATTTTCATGATTTAATCTCATTGCTGTTTATAAGTCATTGCACCTGCTTCTGCATTAATGGCTCTCGCAATAATTTTAATCAAAATTCATAATAATCAATGATAAAAAGATAACTTTGTGTATTAAACAGAAATACTAAAATTATAAACAATAATGTTATGTAATTCTTTATAGTCTTCAGTTAATGTACAGCTTCAAACAGCAAACAATTAACCTATAGCAATGACAACATATTTAACAATACTATACTTAGAATACTTCTCAATGTAGTCTTCAATAGCAGAGAATTGTACTTATCCTCTTATTGACATTAACCTAACAATGGAATGTAATTCATCATACATAGCTACTGTTAGTATCTATTCTTCTTGTATGTAGTGTTCTTAGCATCACTAGCAGTAGTAGCCACTAGTCATCCCAGGCAGTGTCACGTGGAGGCGGCACTACATTGCTGCCCACACTAGAACAGAGAACAATATAATTATATTGACACATACCTAATGTACTTGAACCTTTAACAGGAACTTGCTATAACCTTAGGAAAGAGAAGGTTAATACATGACACATACTGTAAGATATGTCCATTTTTAAATATCTGAACGTGTGATTTTGGAGAGGGAATTTTGGTGAATTTGGCATTTTGATAATAGCCATTCACCAAAATAAAACCCACCATTATGAACCATTATGTACACATGTACATGCTCAATGGGACATGGACACAAATTAAAACACACCAAAATTTAGCAGTTCAACAAATCCCACAACTTCAAATTACCAGAAGCATGCTAGTTTGGATAATTTTAATTGCATTAGGTAGCTATTTAAAAACTGATTTATGAAGCACAAAAATTGAGACACATCAAATGTCCATTATGTACATGTACATGTATTTACCAGTGAAAGTGTGAGGAGCAGTTAGGACATGTAACCACATCTTCACTAAACCTGAACAACAGATCCCTTGAATGACAAACACCACATCCTGTACCATTAGCTGAACATTTCTACATAAAAATATTACAAGATAACACATTACTAGTCACATGTACATCATGCATGACTACCAATAGGAGGGGGCAAGGGGGAATTAGCACTAGGCCCCCAAATAAAGGGGCCCCCTAGCCTCAGGTTAATTAGTAAACTCTTGGGGCTTGGGGGCCTAATACAAACTTTAAAATACAACTTTCAAATTTGATGACGTACACGTAATTAAATGTACATCTACAACATGCAAATCTTCTTCAAAGACAAAACCTCAAGACTA